CTTGGAGTCATTATTGACTCCAAGATGAACATGAGCCGCCAATGCCAGACTGCAGCCAGCAAGGCCAGCCATACCTTGTCATGCATCTAAAGGTGCATCTCAAGCCAGTCCAGAGAGGTGATACTCCCCCTCTATGCAACTTTGGTCAGGCCGCAGTTGGAGTACTGCGTCCAGTACTGGGCGCCGCACTTCAAAAGGGATGTGGCCAGCCTGGAGAGGGTTCACAGGAGGACCACCTGCTTGTTGAGAGGGCAACAGGACAGGCCCTAGAAGGAGAGACTGAAGGACCTGAACCTGTCCAGCCTCAGCAAGAGGCTGAGGGGAGACCTGGTGGCTGCCTACAAGTTCATCAGGGGGGATCAACAGCAAATAGGCAGAGCTCTTTTCTCCCTGGCACCACCTGGGGTGACGAGGAACAATGGTAATAAGCTGATGGAGAATAGGTTCGGTTAGAGATCAGAAGGCAGTATTTTTACAGTTAGGGTGGCCAATATGTGGAACCAACTTCCCAGGGAAGTGGTCCTTGCCCCTACCTTGGGTAAATTCAAGAGGAGGTTGGACGATCACCTGTCTGGGGTCTTGTGAACCCAGCATTCATTCCTTCCTGTGGCAGGGGGTCAGGCTAGATGATCTGTTCAGGTCCTTCCTGACCCTAGCTACTATGAAGTCTTCATCAGTCTGTTTATAAGCAAGTGGAACATCCATAAGCATGAACATAATATTTACTACCCTACATAACATACACATTTAAATTTGAAATGATGTATAAATCATTGTATGGATCTTTTTGGGAAATAGTACCTAATACTTTTTGCAAGACTTTTCCAAAATAAGATTAGGTAATTAGCAGTGTTAGTCTGAAGTCAGGCAGAAGACCAGTAGAGTTACACCTCATGGGCTAACTGAATTGGAGATGGATGATTTTTTGTATCATATGCATCAGATGTCTACACCCATGCCAGAGCTAGAGGATCTGATGAAGTGAAACTGTTGCTTATGAAAGCTTATGTACTCTATTGTTTCAGACTTGTTTAATTTAGTCATTAAAACAAATTTAATTGTTTATTCCCATTAGTTGCATTGGTGTCATAGAAGTAAGACAACAAGCTCAGTTTTGTTTCTCATTTTGTATAAACATCATTGTTTACTTATTTACATTACCACCATTCAGCAGAGTTAAATACAGTTCAGCAAGTATGATTCTGCTTATTAAGTCATATCCTTAATTATTACAAAAGTCATGAGAAGCAGATCTTGCATTCCTTTTCTGGTCTTGGGTTGAGTTTGTAGAGCTATCTCTTAAAATGCATAATTCTTTCCCCTGGATTAGGCAAGGCATTCTTATCAAATTTCAAGAGAAAAAACTTATAACATTCCTTGAAATGGGCTTGCAATAGAAAATAAGCTGAATTGTAGCATCCAAAAGGGTCAGTGCAATCCAATAGGTAGATTGTTGTTGCAGTGTGCCAGAGTTATCATTTCCCTTTCATTTGGGTCACCTGTATCCCAGGATATGCACTGTGCTTGGAAGGTTCCTTAGGCACCTAAAATACTCTTTAGGTGGATTCTAGGAGTCTTAAAACCAAAAAATGCATCCAAGAAACCCCTGCTCAGTTGTTGTCTGACCCTGAAAGCTCCTATATCTTGACTGGCAAAGTTACGTAAACACCTACATTTAGGCAGCCACACATGAGCAGAAGCAGGCATGGATTTGTTTTTCAGTTGACCATGAGATGGGAGAAGCAGCAGTGGACTAAGTCCCAAAAGCAACTAAGAATCCCTTCTTCCTCCTCCCCCCCCCACCCCGCTTTGTTCAGTGATACTTCTCCTTCCCTTCATAAGAGTCCCTGTTGCTGCTTTTGGGGGTTGTCTTCCTGCAACAGGGGGAATGCTGAGAGCTGGGGTGCAGCCACCCCTGCAGCAAAGGTTGCTGCTCCTGCACCCCATTTTCTAAATTCTTTGATCCACCCATGAGTAGAAGCACTCCAGGTTGATTCCCACCTTGGTTTATTTTTCGATCTAGAGAAGCATCTAAATTGCTACTGCCCCTGAAGAAGCCTAATGCGTTAGGCACATGCAGGTCTACTACTGAATTCATTACAAAGTGTAGCAGCCACTGTCACTTTCATTCAAAACTAGAACCAGAACATGGAGTCATGTCACTGCTCATTATATGCTATAATAGCATAGTGGCTGGAGTACTTGCCAAAGAAGTGAGACTCTTGGGCCTTTCTCAGCCTAGGAAATTTCAGACTACCATCTTCAACCTTTCAGGAGAGTATTTTTAATCCCTTGGCTGTAGAAAAGTCTTGATTGGGCCACTTTCCAAAGTGGCCTCCTCTTGGAAGCTCTGGATGATGGTATGACCAGGAATAGAAGAGTTAGGGGTCAGAAGGTGAGCAAGCAGAAGAGAGCTTGACCCTTAAGTAGTTAGGACACTCATTTGGGAGAAGCATAATCCTGGGTTTGGGAGGGGAGGATGTCCAGCAGCTGTGCGTTGATTAAGATGAATGGCTCTTACCCTTAGCAGAGTCAGTGGCTGAGAATTAGTATTTCACTTGGATTGTTTACCGTTCTCCATGTAGATGTGCTTGGAGGCATGGGGGAGTAAAAAATTTTAGGAAGCCAAATTTGGGGGGGGGGGCGGTATTAATCAATGTATATGTCTTATCTTTAAGTTTAGTGTGTGGTGAATATGCACCTTTAAGGGGCAGAAAGTTACTGAAATAGTATGAGTCCCCCTAGAAATGTAATGAGTGGCATATGTTAATCACCATAGTGTCAAGGGTATGTAATCCTGCCTTGAAAGTGGACTTTGTCTTCAGTCTTTCCGGGTATAAGGGTTGGGTTCTGGTCCCCCAGCCAAGGAAGTTGGGAAAAGCAAGCTGATGGGGAGATGCAGGAAGCCCTGATGGGAAAGATCAGAGACAGGACCCACATTTAGACCTGTGAAGCTGGCTTTAAGGTGCAGAGTAAAAACAGGTCAGTATTGTGGTATTTTCTTTTGTTTGTTTACTCTTATCTCTGTCTCTCACCATATGGTTACTGGTTTCTTATACTTGTTTTATAATAAATCATTTTATTGTTTGTCCCTTGTGTTGGTTGCCTGTGAAAGGGGTGATTTCTGGGCAAGTGATACTCCAGGTTACCCTTTCCATGGAAAGGGGGACATATAATTTATTTTTAACCCAAAAACAGGGTGGCTACCTGGGGCTGGAGAATCCATTACTGCAGTTGAGTACAGTGTAGTGGCAATGGAACTGAGTACTGCTGGGATAGGGGTCCTATTTCAGGGCAACCTTGGCCTGTTCCTTGGAGTGAGTGGAAATACAGTAGGGAAAAACTGGGGGCGCTGCAGGTCCCCTGTGGCTGGGTCCATGAGCAGCAGCACAAAGGTGACGTCTGTTTGCAGCCAGAATTTCTCTCTCATTTGCTTTCCTAGTTCATGATTCTTGGAGCATGTCTGTGCTACAAAATCTACTGTGCTGAGCAGCAAACCCCTCAAATGTTCCTCTTTCCTACTTACTGGTTATCTCCTGAACTGGGAGTAATGTAGCTATATTTGTGAGGTTACATGAAAAATAACTATCTTTAAAATCTAATTTAATTTTGTCAGTTCTAATTTGTAAATAATGTACCATAGTGCTTTAATATGTTGAACATAAAATATGCTTGTAACCTATTTCCATCTTAAAACATCAGGAAAGGAGCCAGGAGGGGTAGTCGAGAGAAAAGCTAAGGACAAAGGTACTTGAGTGCTTTGTTTTGGGGGGTTTTTTTTCTCTTGTCAGTGGGCCTTGTGCCTGATGCCTGTAATGCATGACTGTGCAAGTCAGATAATATAAATAAGGCTACTAATACTGGATGTGCTGTAGTTGAAGATGCAGCATATAATTGTGTGCAGATTTTCAGTCAAAATTTCAGATACTGGTTTATCCATCTGCAGAGATTTGAGTGCTTTCCTGATCCAGATATAATTAAATGTAATATTCCCAGAAACAGTTCTGGGCAATTTTTTGCATGATTAACTAGTGTGAGTTGCAACTATATGAATGTAGAAAGCTATTCCAAATAGATGTTCAGATTTTGGTTTGTTCTGAATCTTTAGTAGTATCTCTGCTTTTTAGATATTTCACAGATTCCTAGATATTCAGGCAGAAATCAAAATCATTTGTTTTTTGCCTTGTCTACTGCAGGGCCATAGAACTCCAATCGGTGTGGCATGAGAAATCAAGACAGTTTTTAGTTGCTCCTCCTTTTATAATTGGTTATTGTTTAAATTGGTTATTTATTGCTGGTCTGCAATAATAGGCTGATTTGATCTCCCCCTCCCCCCCAAAAGTGTAAACCAAGATCATTCCCGGAAAATGTGTTGCATATAGTTGGTAATCTGCTTCTTCATGAAGCAAATAAAGGCTGTTGATGGTTCCCTGTTGGGTCTTCTCACCTTCTAGGGCTAGCTAGATTGTACCAAAATTGCTTTTTTAATATTAATCTAAAATGTAAAGATTGGTTGGGGGAAAATGTCTGCTGAAGGGAGTTTTTTGCATGCCAGTGAAAAGTCATATTATTTGTTTTGCACTGTTTGAAGTAACTTGTTTGAAAATGTGCGTTTACAAAAATATTAATAAATATGCTGTTTTTAATGCACTGCTGTTTGGGTTTCTTTCCAAAAGATATTTTGGGACTATAATAATACCTCATGTTTAGTCCATGTGGCAAACCTGTTGGGAAGATGTATATTGTTTCAGTTAAACTTTATGAAATGTTAAATTAAATTCTATGAATATGCAAAAATATTTAAGTGTAGTTAGTTAGAGGTAGGGTTTCAACAAACCATTAAATGATAGTTTCTCTACTACTTACCTGGGCAAAGTTCCCAGTTGGCTTCAAGGGAAGATTGCCTAACAGTACAGAAAGGATGCATAGGAAAATATTCATTTTTTTTTTTTTCATAGGAGCAGAACAGATTTATATATTGTTACCTGTTATATAGTTTGTGTATAAAACACCTTTTCTGTTTTACACAATTACTTTTATAAAAGTAGTTGAGTTTTTCTTATATTAAACATACTTGGAATTATTCCATTTCATTTTTAATAACAGGCTATTCAACAGTAGGTTTATGCACAAATTGTAAAAATAGCTTTCAGAATAATATTAATTTTCTGAAGTGCCTTTTTGCATCATGTTTTTAAAATTGAATATCAAATCCTTCCAAAGTCTAAAAGAATTTTACTTAGAAATTTATGGATGGGGATTGAGAGGGATTTCCAATAGCTAAAATGAAGCTATATCATTAAAATTACCAATTTCTCTACAAATGAGAGGACAGAGGACTTTCAGGAGTTGAGAAAGCTGTGCTAATCTTTTTTTTTTGGTATGTTACCAATATGTTCCATGTCAGTCCTGATTTATCATAATTGAAACAATCATACAATTTAAAAATGAGAGATCATGCTAAGTTACAAGCCACGATTAAAAACTTTCCTACACATGCTGTTAATGATGTTATGGAATAAATTCAGAGGTTTTAAATCCGGTTTACCTCTTCTAGTACCTTTTCTGGTTTGAAGTCCCTAGCACAGTTCTTTTGTGTTTTCCTTCATAAATGTTTTAATATTGACATGGTTAAAATTAGTTTTAGCCATTGGTCTAATCTAATGTGACGTGTACCAGAAGTTTTATATTGTAATTTTGTTTGATAATTAAATTGACACCTTTTGAAGGTGTCCTTCACAGTCTTACAGAGGTCTTCTACAGACATTCAGCTTCTCCTGGGATTGTTCCTGCTCTCCCAGGAGATATCATGCGTACACGGATGATCAGGCTCTTTCTCTCAGAGTAGAAATTTCTGCTTCCAGAGAAAAGTAACCCAGGAATAACCAGGTTTAAATCACTTTTGCAACAGTTTCTCCTAGGAGAGTTGATGTCTGTACATGCTGTGGCTTCTCTTGGAAGAGAACATTAGCCATCTAGCACATTCCTGCATCCCCTCTCCCAGGAGACATTGTGTCACTCTGGACTGCTTCCAGCAGGGAGCAGAGCGCAGCTCCTTCACATCTCCACATGGGTAGTCTGGGTCTGCCATTCAGGGCTGCCCTATGTACATCTGCCATCTGTCATTGGGGAAGAGTAAGGGATCCTACAAAGTGCACTAAGTTGTGTGTACAGGGCCCCACTTGCCTGCACAGTGTCAACACTGCAAGCTTTCACTCTTCAGGCCTTAGCATTCAAATGTGTGTATTTGTGGCTCTGGGTAAGTTTTTCTACCAGGAGAATAAACCTGGGAGAATTTCCCCAGGTTATTTGAACATGTGTAGGCAACTAAAGTTGTATCATCATAAAAGATTCAAAGTGTATTAGGCTCAAGGAAGCCCTAGACAAGGGCTACTCCTTTAGTAGCAGAAATGTTATATACAAGTAAACTAAAATTTTCAGTGTAGGAATGGTTAATTTTTAAATCATCTGCATGGTTTGTGACATCACTAATAATATTTAGAACTATTTGTTTAAGTAGTTTAAACCTTAAATACCTTAATATTCCTAAATATATTAATAGGTTGAAATTTTTAAAATATTGAGTCATTACGGCCATGATTCAGAAAGGTGTTTAGGAACCCAATACCCTTTGAAATCAGTGAGGCTTGGGTGTTTAAACATATTTGAGTATCTAGACCTAATTTCTCTCATACTTTACTAAATTATAGCTTAATTAGAAGAAGTTATTATTAGGCTTGTAGCTATGTCTGTAACGCATTCAGTGCTGCTGATTCTGTACTAATTCTGTATAGTGAAAAAAAAAATCAATTAATCTTTAACATTGTGTGTGTTTGGGGCACTTTAAGCTGCTCAGCCCTGGAACTGCATTTGATATTGATGCTTGTGATAAGTTGCTCAAGTATTCTTTCCTTTTCTGAACATTTTCCCTTTTTTAAATGAAAACTTTGAAAAGTAAAAGAAGCAATTAAACAACCGCTCAAGAAAGCAAAAGAGAAACAAGAATCCAAGAAGAAAGAAACTAAGGACGAAGAAGAGAAAAAGAAAACAAGGAAGGGCAAAGATGATGCTGACCGAAAGGATAAGAGAATTGTTGAGATGGATAAAATGAGAAAAGATTCTGACAAGCTTAAAAAAGACAGAGGGAAGGAAAAGGACAAAGCAGGACTAGATAAAAGTGTGAAACACAAAGAGTCTACGAAAAAATCAGCCAGTGAAAAGGATGGCTCCCCTTCTCAGGTAGGGCAAGACAAGGAAATTAAAAAGGTGTCTAAAAATCCTTCTAAAGTTCCTGAAGCTTCAGCAAAGGAAGATAAGAAAGAAAGGAAATGAATTTATTTGTTGTGTAGGAACGGACTTGGATGCTGAGGGAAATTTAGTGCATTTGTAGAAATATGGCAAATAAGGTAACTTTTCTGGAAGTCAGTAGCATGAACAAAAATTATTATAATCCTTTGTGCAGACTGCTTACGTTTTCTTTCACTTGTAAACACTCAGTAAAAATGGCTGTTGTGGAATATGTACATAATGTATTCAGTGAAACCTGTACATTACAAATCACATCACTGGTTCTGCTTTTAAAACTGAACTTCTTGTTGTTTATGACAATCAGTATCAAACACTAATTCTAAAATACCTGTATGTCAGGATATTGCATGTATGCATTGCATTATAGATGTAGATGCATGAAGAATTTTAAAGCAACATTGTTTATTACAGTATATACACATTTTGTAGCAGGGTAATAGAGGGTAATCGACACATGTAAGAGGTGAACATTTATCTTTATGAAAAAAATTGTTCTCTAGAAGGAATAAATACAAAGATAATGTTGACAAAATGCATTCTTGTCATAGGCTAATGATTTAAAAAATGAAGAGTAAATTAGTCAAATCTGTGTTTAATGCTTCCATCACAAGACTGCTAATGGTATTTAGGCAATTAATTTACCTAGTTTAAAACTGGCTTGAATATCTCAATACTTCAGTGTTGTCAGCTGTGTATTGCAATGTTTTTCATTATTTTTATGACTATATTATTTTCTTTTGAGATTTTATCTCTATGTGAAAGCTATTAGTTCACTGACTTTGAGTTTGCTGTGGGAGAGCCTTAAGAGGAAAAAAAAAAAAAGTATTCAGCACCCAAAATTGGTGTCACCTTTTCAAAAAGCCTTAGTATCCTACAGCTTCTTTTCGATGCTGAAAACTTTTTAAAAATCAAGCCACATACTGAGATACCAAAACAGAAGTTGTAGGGTATGGATCAAATTTTAGTTGGTATTAATTGATAGTTAATTCAGTTATTGGACTGGATTAGAGAATAAACTTGTTGCATCTATTAATATAATGTTCTATTCAAACAGTATTGCACAGTTGTTTGAAAAGCTCCTTTTTAATTGTGGTCAGTATTTTATATTCTGTTTCTGAGAAGTAAAGATTACTGAGTAATTTAATTAATCAGTATGTTACAAATTTCTCTAGAAATAATGTATTTATTATTTAAAAGTCTGTGCTTGCTTTCCAGTTTATGTAAGGAAAGAGAGTCTTAAGTATTAATAATTATTTTATAGGTTAAACCATGGTGTTGCTTGTCTCTGAAATATTAGCTGCACAATAAAACTTACAAGAGATTCAGATCACTATTTGCAAATGATATTTGAGGATCATTTTACAACGGTGCTAATTTCTCATCCTAAAAAGCAATAATGAAATAGTGCTTTTGAGATTATGGACTAGCATTTAGGCCTG